TTTCTAATAATTATAATGGTGGAGTGAGGTTATAGTAGGAGGTAGACAAAGAATGACTCTTCATAGCACTTTGGGAGCAGAAACCATTTTTCCTGCATAAAGCCCAGTCTTTCCAGAGCCCATTTATTCTAGCCTCACTCCGAGGCCCTCATTTTATATTCAAGGTGATGAAGTCTGCCTTTTCTTTGAGCTGTTCCAGACTCGTTTCTGCCCAAACAGGCTTTTCTGATTATTAAACAAAAGAAACAAAATAAAACCCACCACCATTTCTGAAGCTGATTCCTGCCCGTGGGAACGTAGGCAGGCATGATTGGGGATGAAGAGCCAACACGTTTTTATGAGGTCAAGGAGGACGGGGAAAAGAGGGGTTTGCATATAGGAAGCAAAACCGGCTTGTTCTAAAGCAAACGGCCACTAGACTGATAAGAATGCAAACTGACGACAGACCCAGAAACTCTACATGAGCCACAAAACCTCCGGAACTTCCAGTCCTGCCCTGCAGGATCTTATGGGGTGGGCAGGCATGTTAGAAGGAGCATGCTACCTGAGCACACGTGACACGTGGTGTACCAGGGAATGGGAGGCTACTGCTGTAGCCTCGGTCTATTGCGAGTGGGGACATAAAAAGGGTAAGCTGGGCAATTCTTTAATGTTTGTCCAGATGGGACCAATTTCGAGAGTCACCACAAAGGAAGCTGGGGCGAGAGGAGTAACCCGGGGCGTGAGGAGTAAACGGAGCGTGTGTCTTTCCCCATCCCGGCTTCCCCACGTGTGAGACGCTGGGCAGCCATACAGGCCAGACCCTTTGGCCAAGTGGGAAACCGAGAGCTGGCCTGACATACCCTGATACGGTCTCCATGTCTGGTGTGGTCTGTGACACTGGCGAGGGCCCACTACCCGGAAGGACTCGAGCACAACTAACACGAGTTTAGCAAGCCACGGATGAGGCAAACTGTGGGGTGGCGACCAGGAGGGACACTGCACTCTGAGATATCCGCTACACATGCTTTCGGCCAACACTTACTGACATTCTGCTCTGGACAGGCCCTGCTCTGGACACTGGGGTTTCTTCTGCAAGAAGTAAAACAGACAAAAATCCCTGTCCCCACCCCGCCCCAGGGAGGTGGTGGGTGTTTCTATAGGGTAAGGGGAGGGCAAACCCATCAGTAAATATGTATGATGTCAGCTGGTGGTCAGCGCTACAGAGAAAAGGAAAGCTGGCGGGGGGGCTGGGAGAGGGAGGGACAGGGACATGGAAGTAAGTGATGGTCAGATGAGGGACACGGGGTGAGCTGGGGCTACGGTGGTGTGCTCTTCGCCCTTCAGAAATTTCTGGACCTCTGCTCTCCACCCATATTCCATATAGGGAGAGAAGAGTGGCCCTGGAAGGCCTGGGTAGCGGGAGAGAAGCTGGAGAAGGGCCAGGGATGAACAGGCATGCAGCCCGGGGAACACGAGCAGCTGAGTGGGGAAATGCCCAGGCCGGCCTTCCACAGCGATCCGTCCACCATGATCTCGCCAGCCCCGTCAGCGTCAGCGCCTGGACGTGAAGTGAGTGCCTCTCTACCCCAGACGGCCTCTTCCCTGCACCCTTTTCCTTCCAGGCTCACTTCTAACTCCGAGTTTCCACTCCCGCCATTCGCATTGCCCGCAATGCTCTTTCATTTTTTCTGCTTCATCTAATTAACGAGAGAGGAAGAAAGCATTGAGAGAGAAAAGAAAGAAGGGCATGAAGAAGAGAGGGTGGAAAATAAGAAATATAGAGACGGAAAAAAGCTAAACACAAAACCACGAGAAATGAGAGATAAAAATTAAATGAGAATAGAAGCTAAACTTACTGGGTGCCAGAGACCGTAAGTGACTTGTTTAAACCTTACGATGCTCTCATTTTACAGATGAGGAAACTGGGGCTGAGAGAACTAAGCTCTTGGCCAATGAGTACCAGGCTGGCCCATCACTGCGCTAAGTCGGGAAGGAAGGACAGTTATCCCAACTGTTGAGGCTCTGGGGTTGGCTGACCTGCAGATTTCGAGAGCTCAGCCACAAGGTGTCATTGGAATAGCCCATCTATAAGAGAGTTATTCCATTTATAAGAGCGCCTCCTTAAGTCAACTAAGTAAACAGAGGTGCAGATGTAATAAGAGTTAAATAACGGAGCGATTTTTCTGTTTATCAAACAGTTGTCATATTAGATGGGAGTTTCTTCATCATTCCGTCAACAAACACCTTTAACTGCCTAGGATGTGCAAGTAACCCCAGAGAATTTAGGATTTAAATTAGCAACAACTGTATCTGCATATAGTGTGGAAAAGTACATAATTACTGCATGGAATGAGGCACAACTTTACTTTGCTTCCGAAGGCTTTTGAGAGACATGCTTTCCAGAGTAAGGACAGTACATAAACGGCCTCAGAAGCAGTGACCGCAGCTTTCTGAAAGAATGCACCAGGAGTTTCCACTCTGTACCTACAGTGGTTCAATCACTCTTCTTGAAGAAGTGCCTGGGGACAGTCAAGAGAGCTTTTTATATGGGTGAATAGTCCTGATCTGGGCAAAATTTTTTAAAAAAAAAATCTCATTGTGGTGAGTCATTAAGATTGGCTGGCAGAGCTAAATCTCTGGTAAGAAGCCTCTAGGCTCATTTAGTGATCAGCATGAAAATGTGACTGTTTGTTGCGTTTATTGAACACTTACTCTATGCCCTGCACAGAACACCTTCAAATAATAACCCAAATTACAAATCGAGAATTAAAGCCAACTAGACGTTAACATAAATAAAAAGTTTGTGTTTTATGTCTTAATCTGACACTAATTTTAAGCAGATGGCAGGAATCTTCAGCCAGTTTTCCTTCTTCACTTCAGCTCAGTGGAGTTACTGAAAACCCACTCTATTTATAGCAGGGACCTGGTTTTAGACGGGTCTTCCAAAGACAGTTGGGGGTGAGAAGAGGTCTGAAGGAGGCTGGGAGGGGAAGGAATGACATAGAGAACCACCCCTTCCTGCCCAAGCCACTCATTCTTAAGGACAATGGCACCAGCAGTACCACTGAAAGCCACAATCAACTGACACAGCAACTCAAGGGTCTGCTGTGTCTCTAAGATATCTATTTAAAACTGAAGAGAAACGTTCCAGTCTGGCCTGTGTATACTCTCTAACAAGTTGTCTGTTTTCTGCTTTCTCTTCTCTATAGCTGTAAGTTAGAAAAGAACACACTGAACAGATATTGATTTTTGAAGCAAGTATTACAAAAAGCTGTTGGTGTTTTTCAGTGATAACTGATACAGATCGTGTTAACAACAGCACTGTTTAAGAAAGTAAGATTCCACTGTCTTTCTGTTTTAAAAGTCTTCATTTCCCATTCAGAGACCTAAGATTAAAAAACTGAAATTTGTTTTGAAAGTATCAATCAACTAAATACGCTTGTGCGTTTTTCACACAAGCTCAGGCACGCTATATATAGAGAGAAGCTGTCCATGCAAACATAGTATCACCATAGGGCATAATTCCAGTTGTCTCTTAAAGCCAGAAGAATTAGACTTTTCAAGAGGAAAGAAAAGAATGTGCAAGTCCGAGAAGATTCATGTTCCCATCCTTGGCTGCGGGTCCACCAGATGCAAAGGATCAGGATTTTTGCTCAAAGTTAGACACACACTTTCTTAAGGCCAAAACATTAATGAGGGTAAAGGTAGAAAATAAGAAAGAGAAAAAAATAACTTTTTTGTTATGTCCCAAATTAGGCCTGTCACTATCCGGTGATGGGAGAAATGTTAAGAGCCTTGGCATGGATGAGGACATATATAATGCAATTCTTCATCCTCACGCCAAATTTGGAGGGTTGAACGAGTCCGTTCCTCAGTTCAATTATAGCATGCAAATGCCTGAGCTGCTTGCTTTCTAAAAACAGAAGCAGGGCAAACAGACCAAACTAACGCGAATGTGTATTTAATAGATACAGACTTGTCCTTAAGAAGGATCAGAAAGCAAAGAATAAAATAGGTCTCTTTGGTCACCTCTGACAAAGGGCTATCTAGTTCCAAAAGTCACTTGGGCTACTGGCCCTAAAGAAACAAGAGTTTTTTTGTTTGTTTGTTTGTTTGTTTTTTTAAAAAAGAAGGCAATTCACAATTCGCTGCCCCTGCCTCTTCTTTTCGTCTTGGATCCTTCTTCTGCATACTCTCCAACTTCCCAGTTGTCAGCCCATTTGCTGGCGTAAAACCTCTGCCTCTGTCCTGTCTCTCCTCCACCCCAAAGCATCTTCAGCCGAATTGGCATCAGCACCTCCTCCCAGCCCTTCTTGGAAAACACATTGGGGCCAAGGAAATAAGCCGTCATTTTCTGATGGCAGGCTCGTCTGAAATGAAGATAGCGGCATTTCCGGTTTATAAATACATGTGGGAAAATCCACTTAAACTCCCACCGACTTTCCATATCTTTTTGTTTGGTCTGGTGAGCAAGATCAAGACAGCGACCGGAGGGAGCTTGGCAAGGCAGCCAGGGTGCTCCCTGCACCCGAAGCGCCAACAAAAGCTACTGGATGGTATTGCCTGTCATTTGCTTTCACAGCTGTCTACGCATAAACCAAAGGAATGAGCATCCCTGAAAACAAAAGACAAAACACAGAATGTGAAGCGGCAACTGTTTCCGCTTGCTCGGAGACAGCGATATTCTTACTGCTGCTCTGAGTGGAAAAGTACCACTTCGCTGTCCCCAGAAGGTCCCCGAATGACACAGACTGGGCAGGCTCTATTTCTCTTTCATTGGACATGGGAATCTGAAGAAGAAATGGGTCCAATTCGCCAGAACTAAGTTAACACACATATAGGTGATTCTAGGCACGAGCATCAAGCAGTGTGAACCGATACGAAGGAAAAGAAGCTAAATATGGAAAGCCAAGGAATTCGCTGTCTCGTCACTTTACTATTGAAGACCAGATGGAAACCATACGCTGCGCCCGCCCACCTGCTTTTATACAGAAGAAAGAATGCAAAGTCCTGCTTACCTTGAAGTTGTGTGTCTTCTCATAGTTGAAGTGGTTGTCGTTGTGCGTGAGGGCGGCCCTCCGGACGAGGGAGGAGATCTGTGGACAGGCAAAGAGTTTGAGAGGGGGCCAAAGAAAGCCGCCTTTGACTCCCACCTTCACCCCCAAGGCCACGGCCAGCAGCTCCTGGCGTTTCCTGCCCGGCTTAGGCTTTCGGACCACCGCGCACTTTTTCTCATTTTCAAGCCACAGTTCCTCGGAGAACATAGTGCCCGGACCCTAGATCTTTCTAGTTTCCCCGACGGAGTCTGGGAAGCTCGGGGCTGTCAGGGTTTTCCAGCAGCGCTAATGTTAGGCAGTGGATTTGAGGCAGCTGCGCCCTGTCTGCAGAGGCCTCCTAGCATGTGACCTGGGAGGGCCGGTTTGAGTGATGGAGGGGGCTCTGCCTCTGAATAAGGACGGGCCTGTTTCGAGCTCTGTCTTAAGGCCGACGTGTGCCTGGAACAATAGAACACATTGATGCGCACAGCAACCCCCGGAAGCTGTGTCCAGTCAGCCACTGAGGAATCAATGGAGGAGGCAGGGGCAGGCAGCTTTGTCCTGCCTGCCACACATAGCACACTGCCGAGGAGAGAACTCTCCTACCTGCTAGCGCATTTCACACAGACACAGATACACACAGACACACACAGACACACACACATACAGACACACACCCACAGACACACACACATACACACACAAACACGCACACACACACACCCCAAATAGCTCTGATGTTCAAAGCCCGAGACTGCATCCAATTATTTTGGGGCTCTGAACCCCATCCTGGGCTCAACTCCAGCAGATTAAACCTTTAAACCCTGATGATTGTTTAATCTTATAGGGATAAGCCCGAGTCTCTCTCTTTCTCTTTTTTTAAATCTGTCCCAGCCCTTGAAAGCTTAATTTTTATTCTTATGCGTGCATTAAATTAGAACAGTCTGAGCACTGAACGGGGCATGGAAGAAGAGCATACATAGCATTTCAGCTCTCAGTTCCACAGCCAAAATTTTAAAATAAGAGGTAGACGTCCTGTTCCAGGATACTCCCCAGTCTCCTCCCCGCCAACTACAGGCAACTCCCCACGACCCACACACAAAATTCCTTAACCCAGTCTGCCAGTGCGCCAGCCTCGTGCCCTCCTTGCTCTTCAAAATCATCATCTGTGTGATGGTCTCCCTTGGGACCACAGTGTTTTGGTCCTAGGTCTCTCCATTAATAGGACCAAGGCATTTATCACATCTGGAAGTACTCCTGATCCATTGGCAAAGCTGAATGCAGCTATTGCCACATAGTAAAATCAATACTTTTGCAACTAGGAAGCTAGAACAACGTGGATGGCTGGGCCACTACGTGGATGGATGGTCCACGAATTTTACCCCGTCCTCTACTGAGACATTGTTCTGTATTCCAGCCCTTTCAAGCAGCCTTTTGAAGAGTAACAAAAGATCAATCTTTTCCCTGTGTAATTCTTTATTCCTGGCGATCACTATTCAGAAGTGCATTCTCCCATTTCATCTGCTTATCGCCTTCATTAACAACAGCCAATTTTTATACTGAGCTGTTGAGCAGAATGACTTGTGTTGCCCCAGACAATATTCAGAAAAAATATAAGTCATTGTGCTCAATAGCTCAGTAAGAAGGCACTTACTCATTTAATTCCGGCTCATGTGTATGAGGAACAAGACTTTTATTCCCATGTTTCGGATGAAGAGACTGAGTCACCAAGAGGTGAAGCAATTTTCCCAAAGACATGCAGCTGGTTTAAGCGGCCAAGTTAGGACTGGAACCCAGAACATCTGTGTCCAGCACCCATGCTCCTGAATACCAAATCCTGGTGTCTAAGTACGCCAGTGTGGTGCCACATCCTCCATTGTGTCCTGGCAAATGCTTTATCTGAAATATTGGCCGCGTCTTCCTCCTTCTTATCATGCTTGCCCCCCAGTAGCTCAGACCCTTCGAGCCTCTCCAGCACACCTCCACACATAGCACAGCAGTCTGCTTAGCCCGGTCACCACTCCATCTGCTCTTTGATCCCCCATGAGTTAACCACGATCTGGCATTGCGGGTTTTGGTGAGCTCATCCCAGTCTATCCAGCTCATCTATTTCCCTCCATCCCCCTCCACAAATCCTACAAAACCTCTTCTCTGACATACTCAATGTCTCGCCTCAGTAGCCCGCTGTGTCCATTAGCATATTTCAACATCATTTCAACACGTCTACATTGCAGCGACATTCACTTTCTAACTCAAACGCCGCCCTTTCTAAAAAGACTTCTCCAAACTCCCCACTGGGAGCAAACTCTCTCCTCTGAAATCACGTAGTGTGTTTTTTCCACATTTTCCTTATTGCACTTATCATTTCTAATATTAGAGCGATTTATAACAAGTCTTCTACCTCTGTCATATTGCAAATGCATTGTGACATGCTTGATGTCTATTTTACTTTTGTTTCCCCTATAAGAGTATTTAATAAAATTCTTTGCCATAGTAGGCACTGAATGAATGAACGTAAGTTGCCAGAAAGTACCTGTACGTGAGGGAAGCTAGAGTTGTGGAGGAAAGTGGGCAAAGGTGACTGTGTGGGGTGGGGTCTCCTGCCCCATCCTGCGATCACTCATCGCCATGCTTCAGCTTCCAAGGACCTGACCTCCAGGACCTAACCTCAAAGTGGGCTCCGCCCAGATTCCTTAGCCCTCCTTCCTATTGCCCGGTCCTAAAGGACATCTGCCACTCCTTAGCCTAAAGGCAAAAAGGTGGAGAGGCAGAATAAGGATCTCTTACCAACTCTTCACTGCTAGTAAATCAAGAGACCTTATGATGGTGAACCATTCTGTGTAAGAATGAATTCTGTGATCTGAACTAGGCTAGTTACATGAATATGCAGTTTTAGAATCTGATAAAATAACTCTTTAAATGGAAAGTGGGCAAAATGGGTCTCCTTTTCCTTTTGGTATATGGATAATTGAATACAAGGAGATTTAATATTTTCTCTTGTGCCTGTGCTTTTACTTATAACAACTATTTTTTTATTATTAAAAATTATTGGAGTGACATTAATCAACAAAATCCAGTAAGTTCCAAGTGTACAATTCAACAGTATGTTGTGTGTGTGTGTGTATATATATATATATATATATATACACACACACACACACAATATATATATATTGCATTGTGTGTTCACTGCCCACAGTTAGATTTCTTTCTGTCACCACATATTTACCCCTTTTATCCCCATCTACCTCCCCCCTCCCCGCTTCTCTCTGGTAACCACTAGTCTACTATCTATGTCCATGAGTCTCGATAACAACTAATCTTTATTTCTATTGGTGACAGTGATTTCTTTTTCAGATATTTGCTCAATAGAATTTACCCAAACATAAGACACATTCAGACTTGTGAAGGAACTACACACTGTTCACTTAAGATGTGTCATTACAGGGTACCAGAAGTGTTGGCATCGAGCGAGCATTATTGTGAGTAGTGAGGATGACCCCAGATAACCCCCTTATTAAAGGAAAAATGATTACAAATGTCTCTTGGAAAAAACTTCCTTCTTAAATAATTCTGTCACACAGAGCGCATTTTTAGCCAAGTGTCTCAAGGACAGTGCCTTGGTTTCTTTTATACCCCCCCACAATGAATAATGCATGTTCTTATATATGTGGACGCTTAATATTTTTGCTGATCGTCTTTTGCTAACAAAATTTCCTGTCTGATGGACTATTATGTATACATTAGATGAAGCACATTTCCCCTACATGCTTTTTAAATCAGGGATTCTCAGTTTTGGAACTACTGACATGGGGGGCCAGATAATTCTTTGTTGTGGGAGGCTGTACACTGTCGGATGTTTAGCGGTTTCCTTGCTTCTCCTCACTAGATGCCAGTAGAGCTCCCCGTCCACTGCAGTAATCAAAAATCTCTGCAGACATTGCCAAATCTTTACTCTGAGGCAGAACTGCCCCCAGTTGAGAATAGCTGAGTTAAATGAGTAACACAAATATTTGCAGCAGGCTGCCTATGTGCCAGGTATTATACTAAGCACTCTGCATGTGTTGACTCGTTTAAGATTTATAACTCTGTGAGGTAGGTACCATTATAATGACCACTTTATAGATGAGAAAACGGGAACTGAGTGATTAAGTGACTTCGCCAAGGTCACACAGCTAGTAAGCGGTAGAGCTAACATTAGAACCCAGGCACAACTAAACAGGTCTGTGCTTTCTTCTCTCCCTCTGAAAACAATTTTATTTTTTATTATAGTAAAATACACATAACATAAATTTTACCATTTTAACATTTTAAAGTATAGAATTCAGCAGTTCAACAGCATTAAGTAATTCACAGTGTCCTACGTTTACCTCTACCTACTTCTAGAACACTTCCATCACCCAAAATGAAACCCCATACCCATTAAGCAGTCATTCACCATTCCTCTCTCTCTCTCCAGCTCTTGGAAATCACCAATCATCTTCCTATCTCTGGATTTTCCTACTCTGAATAAGTCATATAATGGAATCATACAGCATACGGCCTTTCGTGTCTGGTTTCTTTCACTTAGCGTGTCTTCAAGCTTCATCCAGGCCATAGCATGTATCAGTACTTTTATTGCTGAATGAGAACCCATTGTAGGGAGAGAACATATTTTGTTTATCCATTCATCAGCTGATGGACAGTTGGGTTGTTTTCACCTTTTGGCTAATGTGAGTGGTGTTGCTAAGAACATTTTTGAACAAGTTTTTGTTTGAACATCTGTTTTTAGTTCTTTGGGGTATACACTAAATCTATGCTTTTAACTATTCTATTCTCTAAACTGCTTCCCATCCAAATAATGTTCACTTAAAAAAAAAATATCCAAGGATTAGATGCCAGAATTACTCTCTCTCCACTGTTAGCCTGTTAATGACTCCCTGGGGTGGTGTTCCCTGGTCTGGATTTTAAAAAGGAGACTTTTGTTCTCCCTGACACCTCTTCTAAAGCAGGCACCACTTAAGATACTTTTGGAAGTAGGTGGGGCTATAAATAAGTGGTGAAATAAGCTCACCACTTCC